TTTTAAAATTCATTTTTAAATGACTTTTTTTAGTTATTTACATATTAGTTATTAAATAAATTTAAGGGTCAAAATTTAAAATAAAATACATAAATAACTTATAAAAATTTTTAAAATAAAAAGTATATTCTCATCGAATATTCTTTTGAAATTAAGTTTTAAATTAATTGTCAATATTTGTGGCCGAAAAACTAGTACAATGGCTGGTGCTGGTGGTTGACGTGATAAGTAACAAGTTGAAGTGGCAATAGTAGTGATTGTGGGAGTTGGTGATGATGATGACTAGTGGTGGCGGTGACTAGTGGCAATTGTGGTGAGTGATTGATGGCGCTGATAGTGGTGGCGCTGGCCAATGACAACAATAGTGGTGATGGCAAGTGGGGGTGGCTAGTGAAAATGGTGATGAAGGGTGGTTCTGGCAACACTGACGATGACCAATGGAATTTGCAATGGATAATCAATGGTGGTGGTGATAATAACAACGGTGATGAATGATACCTTACAATGATGAAGACTAGCTGACGAAAGTTGGTGGCAATAATAAATGGTAGAAATGACCAATAGTTGATCGATGGCAATGACTAACCTTCATGTACCCAACAAAGTTTGTAAGGTAGTGTTTGGTTGGGGAGAAGTGAAAATTTTGATGGCTAAGTGTATGTGGGTATCTGTCATAACCACGTTTGGTTGAAGGTTTCACGCTGATTTTCCCATCTAACTCACTTGGCTAGGAAACGAGGAAGATGACCAAAATATGGAGAAAGGCACTGTTGAGAAAGCCATTTGAAGATGTGGAATTGATCTTCAAAATCGGATAAATGAAAAAGGTGTTTCTACGCATGACAAGTTTACCCCTGTTAATCTAATAATTTTGCAGACTTCTCGACCATACAGGGATATTAGGCCAATGCCAGGAAGGGGAAGGGTTCAAGCACCAGGTACTAATGGGCATTTGCAGAGATACTCTCGTAACAATGGCTTGGCTTTAGCTCCACAAGAGTTGAATTTGTCTGTGGAAGGAAAATTTGAACATGCGTCTTGCATTTACTGCAACTTTCTTTGCGCAGGAATAACTCAAATGGCACTTGGAGTTTTCAGGTACAGTACACTGTTGGATTGGTAAAGTATTTTGTTCCTTTTGAGCTTTGCCTATATTCATTTTTCTTGTGTTAAAATGTATTCGTGAATTTTGCAGGCTTGGTTTCTTGATTGCTCGAAGGATGTAATAAAACAGAGGTGTTTTTATGAGGATAGTTTTGTAATTTTATTAAATTTTTCCATCAATATTTTATCTTCAACCAAACACACATTCAGAAATTTAATTCAATTTTCATGGTAAAATTTTGCCCAACCAAACAATTTTTTTAAAACTTTTCTATCTAACTCTCTTTTCCTCCAGATCCCTAGTATTTACATTTTCCCAATATTAAAAAATTTCTCCCCAACCAAACACTACCTAAGGGAAAAGCATATAGATTATTTGGGATGACAGGGGGATGACATTGGTTGTTTTATCTGGTTCATTCCTTACTTGAATCCTCCATTATAATAATATATCATGTCATGTACAAAAAATAATGAGTCAATGGCATAAACTTATTGTTAGGTCCTAGAAGACCGTATTGCTATACCGAATGGTATGCGCTCAGAGATACTCTATAAATAGGTACTTTGGTTGGCTTATAGTCAGTATCTCAATCACTGCGCACAAGCAATAGGCTTATAGCCAAGATGAGAGTGTGTGCACAGTGTTGGCAGTAAGAGTAAATAGGTCAAAAAGTGTGTACATGGGTCTTTAGCCTCTTATTTATAAGGGTTATCTCTAGGATTTGTGTAGATCTCTCAGTTACAGTTGCAGTAGGATTCAACTTTTTTTCTGTTGAGATAGAGGTTTTATCTTGAGTAGCCTTGTTATTTGATATTTGTTAGGATAAGTATTTATCTTTTAGTGGATATTTAGGTAGTTAGTTAGGATATGATATATATCAATAACACTTATCATATTATATTGATTTAACAAACAATAAATTAAAGAAAAATATAATAATCTATCCTCTCTACCCTAACCGCCAATGGACTGTAAAAAAAATCACTCCACATGATTTATTTGATAGTATTAAAGAATCATAAAATGACATATAACATTTTGAAAATTTGTAAATATTTTTTAAATAATTAATATAATATTTATAAATATCCTTTATCCATATAAAATTATTTCCATTACTTGAAAGTTTTAGATGGCAATCTGTATATGCAAATAGAAGGGATTTTTTTTTATTTTTTATTTTTAATTTTTAATTTTAAACATATCCTTTCATTTTCTTTATGACAGGTATGGACTATATAATAGCCAGCCCATAAATTTTTGCAAGCTAAGCCTTCCGATGATAAGGCCCATAAAATGTTGGCCTGGATGGCTTGGTTCGTTTATATGTTTACTTATTTGAGAAATAATATCTAATAGCTGTCAATTGTCATACAACTGATTTGTGACTTCTACATATGTTTTATATTTTTCGCATCATATTTGTGTTGCAAATTTAAAATATATTTAGAATATTCTGAGAATATTAACAATAATAAAGCTATAAATTATACTGAATGAAGAGTCAGTTTATGTCTTTGATTATGGATTCTTGAAAATTTTGATTTGCATAGTTGAAGCATATAAAGAAAGCGCCACGAAAGGTATTTTTTTGCATAAAAAACACAGACATATGCAAATTGAAACTTTTCATTCAACATGTATGAATTAAAATTAACATATATCTTACCTGAACTAAAATGTAACATTACCTGTCTTAAGTTTAAAAAAAAAAAAAAAAAAACTTTACGAGAAGTACACGTGGGCTACAAAGTTTTGCTATTTCTACCAGCTGAATCGACCTTTGTTGCTGTAAATTCCTTACTTATAGTATTTTACAATACAGGTTTTTATTCATTCAGCCTCATAACAATATTATAGAAAAGCTGAAATTATAGAGTTGGTTGTAAGTAAGATGTGCTTTTCCTTGGTTAGTCAGGTTAATGTTAGTATTTAGGATAATTAATTTCTCTAAATGCACAAGGTGATATATGTACATAGTATCCTTTAATATTATTTAGTGTGGACTTTAATCTCAATGATATGAAAGTTACAATGATATGAAAGTTACATGAAAATACTTGTACCATAAAAAAATAAAGTTAAAATTGTTGGGTATGACTCATACTTCGCATGCTAACGAGGATTCTTGTTGTCGGGGTCAGCAGAAAGGCAACTAGGATCCTGCTTCCAGTTGAGCATGCGGGGTCCGAGGGGCAATACCTCCAGGTCCGTAGAGGCTAGATATTGTTGTGGGTCTCTGATTTATATAATTTTTTATTTTTTTAGTAGTTTGGGCTTGAACCCATGAATAGTTGCGGTTAAAATTTTCTAATTCTATTTATATTTTTCTTCTAGACTTGTAACGAGTGGCGTTGAGATGAATATAGTACATTTAGATTGTGTGTGAATCAGGATAAATCACTGTTTGTTTTCTTTCTTTCTCTTTTCGTTTACAATTTGTGTGATTTTCAATTTCCAACAAAAATCTGAACTCACATTTATACATTTAGATTTCATCACTACTAAAAGTCAATTCACACAACGTTATCTCATGAAAAAAGGCCATTCAAATCATTTGACTTAGGAACATCTTCAAAAAGTCATTTGCCAAAGGTTGAACAGAAATATATAAAACTTAAATTCGACAAGAACATATTTTCACCCAGCAAATAAATCATATAGGATAAGCATTTCCGAACCTTGAATGGAGTAATTAGATTTTCTGAACAAAAATTAACAATTCTGGATCCTGTTTTGTTTCTTATACCCGACCAAGCTGAATGGCCATTGCACAGTTAATTGTTTCACCTTTTTTTTAAAAAAAAGACTAAATCAATCACCTAATCAAGTAAACAATTAATTAATGCACTGGAAAAACAAATAGCACTATGGAAATACTTTACGAAATTATATTTGCAACTTTTAGCATGTTTTTATTGAAGCTTCATATTGCAAATTTATGTCATATATAAAAGGGGAAGTATCCATCTACAATTTTTTTTTTATAAATTACACTAAGTATGACCGGTCATACACTCTTGATTAGTGTATGACAGGTCAGACATAGTGTAGTTTGTAAGAGTTTGTAAACAAAAAGTTTATAAATATAACTTCCCCAGTGTAAAATCCCTACTTGAGATGTGTTTGTAATTGTATACAAATTGTTTTACAGAAAATTCTGGACTGCAGATTTTGCATGTTTTGCTGAAGTTTCAAAATGTAAAATTAGGCCATGAATAATAATAAAGTCTTGGATATGTAGCAAGTCATAGACAATAAATCAAATCTTCTTCGATAGCATAAAATAACAAAAAACAAGTCAATCTCAATGCGCTCATATTGAGCATAGGCAAAAATGCAGAAGAGTATATGCTTCTAGGCTTAACATGCCGGCTCCACAATCCTCAACTGTACCCAAAACATTATATATATATAAATTAAGTCCCTCTATATATGAACTGGTGGGCCCTTGGTATATTGACTAGTATGGTATGAGCCAAACACAAACTTAGCTCAGACATGTGTAAACAACACAAGCAGCCTCCATTAAACAAAATAAAATTTTCAAGTGAGAGAAATATGGTATGTCCAAATGCACATTTAATATTTTCATCTAGAAGCACTTTATAATTATACCTTTTTAGCCTTTGGCACTTTTGCTCTTCTAGATGATTATAATTAAACTGTTAAATTTGAGTACCTTGTTTCCCTAAACTATTTATTCATCTAGAAGGTATCGAATCAATAGCTTCCAACTTTTTATCTCTTTGTCTAATTTATAAATTATATCCTCCATGTATATTTGTATATATATATATATATTGGGAATACTCTAATAGATCAAGTCACCAAATATTCTTCACATTTATATGCTCATTCCTTTTTGTTTCTATCTCTTGTGTAAGTATCAATGGTGGCAAAAGAATCTTACTCAGACCAAGAAGCAGGAAATGAAGAGAACACTCTGCTTCAAGATCCATATGAAGAAGAAGAAACTCTATCCCTCAGTGACCTTCCAATTCATAGTGATTCAAATTCAGGTCAAAGGGGTGATTTCTCCAAAGAAGATGGAAAAAACTCAGCAGGATCCTATAACAAAGAGGATAACGGTGATGATGATGACTTCTTTGAATTCTTCAGTGAAGAATTCACCACCTCAAGTACTCATGCAACTGCAGAGAATATAATCTTTTGCGGCAAACTCATTCCCTTCAAAGATCATCCACATGTCCACAATAGAGGGAAGAGCCTTAGCGATATTCAAGAGGCTGTGACAATATCTACTCATGATGGTGGTGGTAGCTTCAAGAAGGGACAAGAAGCAAAGGGTTCAAAGAGTTTTGCTTGTGATTACACATCAATAGGGAAGGTCTCGCTAATGAGGTCAACCACAAAGTCTAGGTGGTTTTTGTTTATGTTTGGGATGTCAAAGTTGTCCACCACTGAGATGGAACTTAGAGACATTAGAAACAGACAAAGCAGGAGGGTTCCCGCGACGATGTTTCCGGCACCGGAGCAAGGGGAAGAGGTGAAGATCAAAGCGAGGAGAAGCTGCAAAGGGATGTGCAAGATGTTGAGGTCAATATCATGGGGTTTAGGCTGCAGCAGTAGCAAGCTTGCAAACGACGTAGTAAAGGCTGCTTTTGTGTGAATTTTGCTGATCATGAAGAAGTCACGTGCCCTGCCTCTAGAACTAGAAGATTGACCCTCACCCTGCTATATATTGTCCACATATATAAGGCAATTCTTTTAGTCATGAATATTATTGCCTTTGAAATGTCTGCAAACAAGTGATAGATATATAGCTGATATAGTTCTTGTTGGTTGGTCATTGTAGCCATCAAAGAAAGAAATGGGACTATTCAACATTTACAATTTTGTGTATCAAACTATTATTGCATTATGTTATATATTTAAGTTTTTCAGTTTTGAAATATAAGATTCTTTCAGCCGTTTCAAAGAAGCCAAGGGAAGTGTAGATAATATTTGTTTGTTATAAAGAAAAATAGTCAATTTAGTATATGCTAAGCTAATATTTTCGCTGGTCACTAGGGCTATATATATAAGATTACATGAGGGGTGGCAATATGGGTTGAACCCGGCGGGTCAACCCGTCAACCCGCCAAAACGGGGCGGGACGGGATACATACCACAACTCATCAACCCACCTTAACCCGCCCCGTCAAGTAGCGGGTTAACACGGGTTATGGGCGGGGCGGGGCGGGGCTGGTTAACCCACGGGTTTTTATTATTTTATTTTATTTAAAAATATTAAAAATATATAACGTTATCATTCACAGATTCACCTCGTTTTTTTTTTTTCTGATTCTGATCTGAAACCCTAAGAGCTCCTCCAAGGCTCCAACTTTAGTCCTCCGCCTCCAACTCTCGTCTCTGCCTCTCACTCTCACTCTCACTCTCGCAGCACTCACTCCAAGTCTCCAAGGCTCCAACGTTAGCACTCACTCACTTTATCTGGTATTCTGGCAATCTCTTTGTCACTCACTTTATTCAAATTTTTTTCTAATCTTTCTCCTTGAGTGTGACAGTGGCTCATCGGTGTAAGGGAAAAACTCATTTGAGATCTGTGCTCGGTAGTCATCTGTTTTTAACACTTGGAATATTAATTCAGGTATATTCAAAATATTGAGTTTGACATGTCCATCTTATAGAACTTGATTGGGTATTTCAATTTAATGTTAATTTTCCTATTGAAGTATTTGATATATTGTGCATTTGATGCTACTGGAAGTATATATTTTGAACTCCTATAACATATGCATGATCTTAATCTCTTTTAAATTTCTTGTAAATATTTTATTAGATCTTGTTACTTATGTTTTCATGTCTTCGCTTTCAATTTGTTATTTTGAACCCTGAAAGCACCAATTTGTTATTTTGAACCATTCCACTGTTTTTTTTCCTATATAGAAAAAAGAAGAACCATTTTGGCGGGTCAACCCGCCAACCCAATTATTTTTTTGGTGAGATGCGGGTCAACCCGCCAACCCACTTTGAAACGGGGTGGGTTCAACTTTTAAACCCACCATCCAAATGCGGGTCAATCCGCCCTGCCCCGTTTTTGGCGGGTCGGCCCGTTTTGCCACCCCTAAATACACTTTTTTTTTTTGATAACATTAAGGGGCGAAGCCCCAAACAAAAACAAACTAACAACCAGAAACAAAAAATAACTATCCAGGGTCTATACCCCTACAAGAGGAGATTCCCTGAAGATCGTGATCAAATAACTGAGCAAGGTGAAACGGCATAACTCTATGACTCCAGAATCCAGTATCTTTGTGAAGAGCAGACTTGGCTAACCAATCAGCACAGGAATTAGCTTCTCTTGGAATATGAGAAAGCGTTACCTCCCAATCCTGACCGATGAGTGCTTGTATCTTAGCCACTATACGAGGCTGACAAGCTGCATTGCAATCAGCAAGCAAAGAGAATACTTCAGAAGCATCTCCTTCTAGTTCCACCTTCTTAAATCCCAGTTGCCAAACCAATTCCAGACCTTTTAGAGTTCCCAAAAGCTCCGCCATTAAAGGAGTGCAAGCACCAATATGATACTCAAAGCCTCCCAACCAAGAGCCATCATCAGATCTGATAATCCCACCACAAGCAGCCACCTCAGTATTCCTTTCAACTGCCCCATCAATATTAATCTTCACCCAATTTAACCTTGGAGGTTTCCATAAACTCATACGAGTTGGATGAATGCTAGTAGTAGCCATAGCCTTCCTACCCATGCAGTTACGAACTTCCTCTATATACATAGCAATTATGTGCGTTCCATGGGTTGGATGCTTGAAGTTAGTATCATGGACACTTTTGTTCCTCCATCCCCAAATGAACCAACAAGAGATAAAAAAGACATCACGCCAATCATCTGAATTACTTTGATTCCAAGCTTTTGAGATATTATTTTCAACCCAATCTCTAAGATCCAAGCTATAGAATAAGCTTTGCCGATTAGCTGAAACCAGAGAATTCCAAACACTTCTAGCATGCTTACAATCTCTTAGAACATGGAGGTTTGTTTCCAACTCACCAGGACATATTTTACAATGACCAGATTCCCCACTCCATCTAGATGTGCGGTCTTTAGTAAGAAGGCGGCCATGCATTATGATCCACATACAAGATTTAACACGTTGAGGCCCATGCCATTTCCATATGGTAGTCCAAGAATTTTTCAACGGCATGAGAGGGAAACCAAGCATGTTATAATACGCGGTTTTAACTAAAGAGCAGCCAACCTTTTGATTTCTCCAAATAATGCGGTCATTTCCATCCGATGCGCTAGGAATGAGAGCAGCTTGGATCCTTGCAACAGCTTGATCATTGAGATATTGACGAATATAGGGAAAGTTCCATTGACCAGTATTGCTGTTCACGAAGGCACTAACAGGGAGATTCAACTCCAAACCAGTTGGAGTACGAGTAGCCAGAGAGGCAAGACACTCAGTTAAACCCAACCAATTGTCTGTCCAAAATAATGCATCATTACCGTCTCCAATCTCCCATTGCATTGCTTGAAGAAAAGATGGCCAAACACTACACAGATTTTTCCAGAAGTATGAGTCATATGCTTTATGATTTACTTCCCTCCGAAGATCCAAACCTCTCTTATATTTACTTGTTACAACTCGAACCCACAACGAATCGGGCGAAGTAAGTATCGTCCATGCAAGCTTGTGAAAGAAAGCCATATTTTGGACACGAAGGTTAATCACCCCTAAGCCACCCATGCTCTTAGGCTTGCAAATATTATCCCATTCAACCAGATGAGATATCCTTTGACCATTTTTATCACCCCAAATAAAGGCACGCTGCAACTTCTCTATTTCATCACAAATGGCTACAGGAAGCAGACTGTGTTGCATTTGAAATATAGGAGTTGCTGAAATAACGGAGTTGGAAAGTGTAATTCGACCGGCAAAAGATAAGACCTGGTTACTCCAACCAGATAACTTGTGCCTAATTCTTGCAACAACATCAGCATAATGGTCTTTGGTTACTCGACCATGTTTCATCATGGACCCAAGATATCTCCCTATATTGTGAGTTTGCTTGAAGCCACACACATTTATGATATCATCTGCAATGTGAGCATCTGTATTTTTCGAGAAAAAAATACTAGATTTCGGAATACTAACCTTTAGGCCAGACATTGAACTAAAAGTCTCCAAGCAATCCACTATAACTTTGATTTGATCTAGAGAAGCTTCTGCAAACAACATCAAATCATCAGCAAACATCAGATGGGCTATCTTAGGACCTTTTGATCCCACGGAGATTGGCTTCCATCTCTTATTGTCAACCGCATCTTGAATGAGATGAGACAATTTTTCCATGGCTAGAACAAAAATGTAGGGAGATAAAGGATCACCCTGACGAACTCCTCTTGAAGGAAGGAAGTCACCTGCAATGGCTCCATTCCAAAGCACTGAGACCTTATCAGAGTTGATACAATTCATGATAATATTTGTGAACCCGTGTGGGATTTGAATTTCATCCAAAATTTTACGAACAAACTCCCAATTTAACATATCATAAGCCTTTTCCAAGTCGATTTTAATTGCCATGAAACACTTTCTTCCTCTCATTCTACGCATTGAATGGATCAGCTCTTGGGTGATGATGATGTTGTCCTGGATATGTCGTTTAGGAACAAAACTAGCTTGGAAGGGAGACACCATCTCTTCCATTAGGGGCTTCATTCTGTTAACCAGAATTTTACTGAGGATTTTATAAATGACATTGCACAAAGAGATTGGTCTGAGCTGCTTAGCACTTTCAGGTCTCTTTACTTTTGGAATGAGGACCAGAAGAGTCGAGTTCACAAGGTGAATCAGATTGGGATTCTGAAACATCATGTTAACATCCTTAATAACATTAGTCTTAATAAGACTCCAATTCTTATGAAAAAAGGCAGCTGGAAAACCATCTTCCCCTGGAGCTTTTGACCCATTGATACTAAAAACAGCTTTTGAAATTTCGTCATCCGAAAGATTACGAGTCAAATTAGATAGCAGATCATCGTGCAGAAGGGGCCAAGTAGTCTTTGATTTCACCCAATCACGATTAAGGACTTCCTCACTAAACAAGTTGCTATAGAAATCTGTTACCAATTGATGAAGTTGTCTAGCTTCCTTCACCCAAATCCCATCAGAATTTTTTAACTCAAGAATCCTATTCGAACTTCTTCGAGTAGCTGTTTTAATGTGATAGAATTTGGTGTTTCTATCCCCATCATTTATCCATTTCACCCTGGCTTTTTGAAACCATAAGATCTCTTCTTGTATGAGAACCGCATCAAGGTCCTTCCTAACCTCCTTTTCTCTAGATTGGAGAGATAAGTTGGTATGATAATCAACATGATTCTGAATTTCTGCAATACTATGCAATAGGTTAGTCTTCCTATTGAAAATGTTGCCAAAGACTATCTTGTTCCATCTTTTTAAATTTGGAGTCAGATCATGCAGATTCGTTCTAGTGTCTTTCACAACATTCCAGCTCCTAGCCAGAAACTGAGTAAAGTTATAATGCTCCATCCAAGCAATCTCAAAGCGAAAGGGACGATTTTTCCAACCTGTGTCCAAGTTAGACAAGTAGACCAAAATGGGACTATGATCAGAATAAATC